TAACTTATTTTTCGGATAACCAATTATGTATGAAAAAATATATTAATTTATCACATCTTGACATTTTTCTCCGTTGCGTGTCGCTTCGCGTTGAATTTTTGTCGATGTTAAGCCTAACGAAGACTATTGTATTGTTAAAAATTATTTTTTTATTTTGTACAAACAAAATAAACATATTGAAAAATATAAAAACAATAAAAAATTAACTTCAGAAGTTAATTTAGTATCAAAAACGTAAAATATTTTAGTAGCTGAAGACACAGCCAAAGATTACAGCGCCACAGCACTGGCGAAAATTTAAATTTGTCGACTGGAATTCCTTCGGATAACCGACGTTTTGGATATCCGACCTTCGGATAAACGACGCTCTACTGTAATGTTAAATGCCAGCCAAGTTATGACCTACGATGCTGCAGCCTGCAAACTATTTGCAGAAATTAATTATTTAGCACAATTGTAAATAATTGATTAAACTAAGCCAATTGCTTTTATCATATTCAAAAGAATCAGTTTTGGTAACTTCTACAGAAATTTTATTTTACTCTTAGGAGTCTACTAATCAAGTGATGATCAAAATGTAGGAGAAGGTCACTGAAAATTTACAGTGAAATTTATTCTGTCGTAAAGTGTAAACTTCTATTGTATTTATAAATTTATAAGTGTTTTAGACAATTATAAAACTAAATAAGACGAGTGAAAACAGTTTTGATTTCTATTCACCTCCTCCTCAGCAACTACAACTAATTATAACAACACAACTGAATTCTTTGCCAAGCATAAATTATTTTATCTCTAATGTTTCCAAACATGTACTAGAAATAAGATCCAAAACAACAATGAAAGTCTTCATTCACTTATTTGGCAAAAATGTCCTAAAATTAATTTTGCATCATTAAAAACAATTTCTACAGCAGCTTCCTTGGCTGCTATACAGTTGATTAGGAGTCCTACTGCATTTATAAAACACACTTACTAAATTAAGTATTCCTATTGGAAATTATCACCTGGAAGCTGCAACTTTTACAGTGAAAAGGAAATTATCTGATGCTACTAGATTCTCAAGTGAGAAGGCAAAAAAAGATAGAAAAGATTGAAAACAAATGATAAAAATCAAGCTACAGAGGGCATAACATATCGTTACTTTGGAAGAAAACCGGCATAACTCAAAAAAGTGTGATTTTTCAATTATGTCATAATCAAAACAAAAATGTAGTAAATTTTTATGTGGAAGAGTGTCTCAAAAGTAACTTACATATTTAACCACTAGGGAGCAATTATATGGGAGATAAGTGATATTCAATTAAACATTGGTTAAATCTTTGCATGGGATTTTCTCAAAACTAGTAATTTTGAGATGTGCCAGTTTTCTTCGAAAGTAGTGATATGAAGCAGGAGCTTTCTAAAACAGAATTAACAATTTTATATGCATAATTGTTTCAAAACTTTAAACTTGGTTTTTCTCAAATTGTGATTTTTGTTGATTTAAATTTTGGGAACTCTATAATTTAAGAATTGCTGGATGTAGATTTGTGAAATTTGGCACATATCAGCACTAATATGTATGGAAATGGGCCATGTACTATTTTATGTAATACTTATAAATTTATTAATATATTAAAAAGACGATTATGTATACAGAGTCTGAAATATTTGGTATTAAAAGTAATTTAAGCAGTATTAAATATATTTATTCCATACACCAAAAACATTTATTTTACCCTTTTCCTATAACATTAAAAATTAATTTAATAACTAGAATATTAGATATTTATCATTTTTTAGAAATTGATTTCCTTGGAGCAAAACAAAAAATTATTAAATTGTTTTATAATTACCTAATCTTTAATTCAATATAAAAATTGTTAAACCACATTAAGCTCAACAACATATGACTATTTCATTGCTTTAGATCAATTACTAAATAAGTGTGAAATTTCAGTAGTGTGCCTTAACATTAAGTCCTTATCCCAAGTTAACTCTGGCAGGTTACATAGCGTTACAGAAAACTGTTGTTTCAACCCCTTTGAAAATTTTTTTCGGATGTTTTTTAAGTCTCCAAATTTTTTCAAAACTTTTATCGCGATTTTAATGTACCTTTAATGATGCATGATTAACACTTAATTGTTTTTTATGAAATTTTTTTAATCAAATTTTATTCATCCTTCTAAAGTTCTAGTGCATGGATTTTACTTTGGTAAAGTTATTTAAAGCTAGTTTCTGATATCAAAAACAACCTCCAATAGTTTAATTTTTTAAATAAATAGATTTTATTATATATATGTTTAATTTAAGTTGGGTGGGAAATTGCGATAAAAAACGTAATTTTTTAAAAATATTTAAATATACGGTCAGCTAGTATTCGCTCTACTTTAAACCCTTCTCCTCCCGAGACTTCTATGAGAATGTCCCGGGAAATCAGTGGCGTGCCGTCATTAGAAGCGGTGGAAGCGCCGCTTCCCTCGTATTTTCTAAAAAATAAATACATATTAATTTTAATTATATGAAAATAATCGCACAATATTCTATTATAACCGCATTATGTATCTTATTACAAATTTCTATACTACACGTGAAAAAAAAATTGCTTTTGTATATTCGAATATTAGTGGCGAAGTGGAATCTCTGAAATTTTCAAATTCCAAAAAGCCAGATTTGCGCATGCGCTTTACAGAGCACCAACCTCGCCCAGTTTAGCCGGTGTAAGCCTACGACCTTGGGTGGAAACTGCGCACATATAACGATTCCAATTCTATCAAGGACCGGTTCTCGGCTGTTAGCTGCCTGCCCACTAGATATTTCGATTACGTGAATAACGAGTATATTTATAACTTAACCCAACCGATAAGAATTTACTGGTATGTTTTTATGATAGTTCTGTATAGTTGNGGGCTGTTAGCCGCCTGCCCACTAGATATTTCGATTACGTGAATAACGAGTATATTTATAACTTAACCCAACCGATAAGAATTTACTGGTATGTTTTTATGATAGTTCTGTATAGTTGGCAGGAGTTAAAAAAATCCATTAAAATATTTGATATATTTATTCCGCTTTCCGATTTTATATTACTCATGGATTTCGTACATCCCATCTTTAAGGGGATGTAGAAAAAAACATGTACAATTCTTGTATAATGTTAAAAAGTTAACCGTTACTTCGACAGCGCCATTTACAATTAAATTTAACGAATAAGAGAGATGCACCAGGTACAGAAAAAGCTCTAGAATTTATTTTCCTTAAATTTACGATTTATGTATCCGTTTGTCATAAAAATTTGTCTTTCCATTTTTTTCCCGAGACTACAAGTATTCGAGTACAAAGTAACTGGTTTCGACTTATTTCTACTTAAGTAGTAGTTAAATAATTAAGTGATTAGGGAATTGGGGACGTAAACAATACCCTGATGAAAAAGCCGGAATTTTACTTAAACAAAAGCTTAACAGGCCCAATATCTAGCCGAGTACAGTGGGACTGATTTCTTCGAAATATTAGATGTAATAAAGACAGTCACTTTTCCAGTTCGACAAGAGTGATCGAAAATTTATAAATTTTGGAAATTTTCGTGGACAACACCTGGTCCTAAAACGAATTAGTTAGAAAACAAAAGACGGACAATCTATTAAGTTTAACATATTTAGACTTTTACAGCTATGGTGAGAAACGTTTAAAATTTACAAGAACCCTGTCGCGTCTTTTGAGGTATATTAGTGATGCAACAAAAGAAGCATTTGACATTGCCAAATCCCGAGGGTGCTGATACCATCGGGATTTGGCAGCCCGCGTGCATGTACAGTACACACAGCAGGACCATCTCTGATTCCACTTGTAGGGAGCTATTTGACTAAATAGTTAAGATTTAAAGAGTAAAGAATATTTTATGTTATTTTCATGTACGTTTCATTACAAAGCTATATTTAATTATAATTTTTTTTTAAACGTATATTCATACAATTGAAGAAGGTTTTCTATCAGGTATGTATATCCACCACACATTTTATTTCACCAAGTAAGTTTTTATAATTTTATTTTTAATTTTAGCCCTTATATCGTGGCTAGCGATTCGGAATGTAATTGCAATATTGAAAATTTATTTTAAAAAAGTTTTGGCTCGAGATCATATAATGAAAAAGAAAACATTATTAAAAGAGAACGGCCAATGCCTAAGTTAAATATAAACGCTTCAATAAAAAAATTGGTTTGAGATTTTCACGATAAAATGGCTCTATAAATGTATAAAAATGCATTTACAGAGTGAAATTAGTGTGTGGAATAAGAATGGCTTTGACAATTTAGCTGGCAAAAGACACAAAAAATCGTCGATTCTTTCGTATTTGAAGCAATTTGGAAATCGAAGCGGAATAGAATTTAACATTAGTAANTTTTGCTTCACCATTGACATAACGGTTTTCCCCTCGCAGTAAATCACTAAAAAATAGAATACGAAGATTTATCTGAATATCAGAAATAACTTTTATCTCCTTTAAATCTATATTTTAACAATAATATTAAAAAATTAGTTCCAACTAAGATAAATTACGTTGTATTAATTTGTCGATACAATTTAAACTTAAATTATTATCTAAAGGAACTGAAATAAACGAATGAATTATGCCAAGTGTTGATGATTACGCTGCATTGCAGTTTTGAAAAACAAATCTAAAGAAAGGTTTAATTTTTTAAAAAGTCTATAGAATACTTTCTTTTAAACAAGCACCTTACTTAAAACCATATATATTTTTTAATAGTGAAAAACGAAAACATAGCAAGTCAATTTGACAAAAAGTTTTTTAAATTAATGAACTATAGCTTCATGGAAAATGTATGCAAAACGTGTGTAAAAAATTAATTTAAAAGCTGGATTGAACAAAGATCAATGTAAACAATATCTAAACAATCCTGCACTAGAGGGTTTCCAAATAATCAACAGAGTGTAGTGTTTTTAGATTAAAGAGAACAAATTTATTATTGCAATAAACCATTACTACATAGAGACTACTTACTAAGAGCTTTTCTATTTATCATATCAAATACTCTGCCTGGAGTGCCAACAACAACATGCACACCCATTTCCAATTTACAAAGATCTTCTTGCACATTAGTTCCACCAATACAAGCATGACATTGGTCATTCATATAGTCTCCTAAAGCAATTACCACTTTTTGAATCTTAAAAAAAGAGGGGGAAAAAAGATATATATATATTACAATTTTAATGTTATGAGAACATTGTCGTATCTTTGATTGAGAAAAAGTCAACTACATAAAATGACCCTTCTCACCCACAAAAAGATATATTTTTTTATTCTTCCTATGCGACAACCATAACTGTCCTTTATTGAGAGCATGGTGCTTTTGAGGAAGATGTGAGAAATAAAATTTATTAATACCTGTTGAGCCAATTCTCTTGTTGTAACTAATATTAAAGCTTGGCATTCTCTTAGGCTAGTGTCTATTTGTTGTAAAATAGCTACAGAGAAAGTAGCTGTCTTTCCAGTTCCAGACTGACTGAGCAATTACATTTAAACCTAGAGATTATAGTATTTACAATGAATTTTAATTTAACTATATTTCTAAAAATTACATTTTAATAATTATAGTAAAAAATATAATAAAATTTTCCAACATTTAAATTCACTGATATTTTGAAACAAATTTTAACAGTTCAAATAATAATTAATATTAACAGAAAAATGTCAGTAATCAGTTGAATTCATCCTCTCAAACATATTTCAACTATATTTTTATTCTTGAATTAATTAGCAGCAGTATCTCATTTTCTGTAAACTTGTTTTTTTATGAACTAAAAATTTATTATTTCTTCACACAATTGTTTTCATAAAATACTTTTAGATATGCCCAACAATGCCTGGGCAAAATGTAATAGGACAAACATTAAAATGGAAACCATACTAAAAAAGTTTGTGACAAACATAACAATGGGAAGCTAAAATATCCAAAGCATCAAGGAGATATAACAGGGAGGGTGATTATGAGGTATTATAGTAGCCTATATTTTCTACAGGCTCCTACAGAATAACTACAAGAAGTTTAGTGCAGACTGGTCAAGGCATTTATCAGACAGACATTCTATTTTATATATTGTATATATACAGTATACTTTTAGAAGCAGATAATTCAAAAACATAAATCAATAAATCTGAAGAAATTACAGTACAAGTAAATTTATAGTATAATAATTAAGATATTTTTTTTCAAAAGCAATAAATATTCCTTTTACATCATTTGTAATATTTTGAAATAATAATGTTATTCAATTACTCTAACTCTAGCAGACTGCCACAAATATTTCCAACGAAAAATTGGCAAACTTATTTAACAATAAAAATTCAGTATAAATAACCTTACATCAAACACTTTTTCCAAGAGCTGATGGGTCATAACCAATGTGTTTATCACCAATACAAGGGTGAAATATATAAAAAGGTAGAGTATAGTGTTTTACCATTTAGTACTGTTACATATGGTATATATATTATATTATTTTATTGATGTTGAATTTGGATAAAATGAGTTTACCAATAGACAAGTTTACCACAACAGCTTAAAGTTTTTAGCAATTGATTAGTGTTCCAAATAGAAAGTTTTTACAAAGAGATATACATATAGATATTATATTATCACATCATATATTGAAAGTAATTATGATCTGCATCTTAATGAAACGACATGGTCTTATTATATGTTTTGCCATAGGGTGCTGTATACCAAATCAGCATTTCACTTCTAGCTACCCATAGTCTACTGTATTTGGAGAGTGAAATTATACGATGAGATCTACTGCAAAATTTTTAGCTGAAAAATTTTCAAGTTAATGGTCAGCATAGTGGAAATGCAATTAACAAGTAAAAAACAATTACAATTAACATTTAAATTTTGTATATAAGTAGAAGGGACAAAATAGAATACAGTGAAACCCCAGTTAACAACCAAATCGGTTAACAAACTTTTATTTTGCAAAAATTTTGTCTCGGATAACGAACTTAACGGCTTTTTGTGTCAAATTTGTAAGCTTGTTAACTTTTAGGGAAAATCAGTTAATCGTGTGTCGGTGATGGTCTAGGGTCCATTCTTATGTTTGTGGTGGCAGAGGAGACAAAGATGACAAGTATTTTACAGTGAAAATCGTTTATTAGAACAGAAAGATGCTTACATATTTGAGGTGGTTGGAAATGGCTTATCTACAGTATTTTCTCCCAGCACTGAGGAGTGGCGTATCACTGGTCTACGATAGTGCAAGCTGATCAGTTGTAGCCCCAGAGCGGACAAGATGGGTACGCTTGGTCACAGAAGCGATGGTAGGTGACAGAGCTGCAACGACTGGAGCAGTCGGTGAGACACAGCACAAATTTTAACAGGCACGATTTCAGGCTTAATGCAGATGAAGACAACACAGATTAATCGCCATAGAATTTTTAGGAAAACTGCATTTTGACCTTGAGATTCGGGGTTTTTATAGTATTTCTTCCTTGAATCTCATATTACGATTAGTCCTGCGTCCCATTCCTTGCTTCCCGATTGTTTTCTTCTTTGTCTCCAGGTGAAAACCGAAACCAGATCAGGTCACGAGAAAGGTTTGTTCTGAGGCATTTATTATTTGACACCTGTCAGTCGACTCTGATCAGAGATTGTTGATAAACCTATAAGCCTTTCACTCATAATTTAGCCTATTGTTTCTGCTATCTGTCATTTTAGAACTTTAACAATCGTACGCAATGTTTTTATACCTGTCAAATCGTTCCCCTTTCCGAAAATTTAACCTAAATTGACTGTTTATGACCGCTTCTGTCAGAGTTTCATCTTCCCCACAGACATTCCACCTGATCCATTACGTCATTCGTTTTCGCGTTGCGTTTGTTTTGACAACTACAGTACAGTTTTTTTCCTTACTTCTCCATGAACTTTGGCCCGACTTAACAATAATCTTTTTGCTTTTAACATGTGGATATTATAATAAATTACATTGGATTGATGCAAAAGTTTGTCCCGTTTTTTTGAAAAGAATCAAAGAAAACCCATTTTACAAATAAAATTACAAAAATACTGACGGCTAGAATGGATTAATTGTATATACATTAATTTCTATGGGAAAAATTGCTTCAGTTAACGAACGAACTTGTGGAACAGATTACGTTCGTTAACCAGGGTTCCACTGTATCTTATAAATTAAAATGAATGTAACAAAAAGTAAATATCAAATATGAATAAAATTGATCTTTTTTTACTTTGTGTATTAATTTTCCTTTATATTCGAAACCATTCTGTTATTTATAAAACAGAAAGGTGCTCATTATAAAGGCATATATTTAAAAGTTTTGATACCTTTAACACAAGGAATTATGGCACGCTGTTGGATAGCAGATGGCTTTTCAAAACCATAGGCATAAATACCACGGAGAAGATCTTCACGCAATCCCATATGGTCAAAATTGTCAACAACTTCATCCCAATTGCTCTACAAGAAAAAAACTTGCAAAATTATTTTTGAAAATTTTAGATGCAATTAAACTATAAATTTTTTACTACTATTAAATTTAATGATATCTTTAATTAATTACTATCTACAATAAACACAAATATACTAACAATATTTCAATTGTTTTAAAATTCAAATCAACATATTTTTTAATACTAATGAATTGTTTACATTAAAATTAACAATAGTATTAAGCAAATAAAAAAAGCAAGCAAAAATCCTATTTAATGCAATTTTCACTGAAATTTACAGAATATACAATCTTTAGCTACATCATCTCATTTTATTTCATTCATTCAGATTGTAGGTTTTTATGAGAATGCAAATAGAAATAGTGTAGAATTTTTTGTACACAGTAGTACCTCATGATATGAACGCTTGAGGATACGAAATTTTCAGGATACATGAAATTTGAACATAATTTTGCTCCATGGTATGAACAAAAACATACCATACAACGTTACATTAGTTTGCAGCACCATTTTTTATTCACTTCTGTTCATCGGTCTCAGTCTGCATGTTTGCTTTGTCATGGAAGGATCTCGCTCGATAAAGGAAATCTTGAGGTATTATCAGAAAGTGACTAATTTTATTGAAAAAAAAAAAACATCCCGAAAAGGTCACATTGGCCATATTGCTGGTCGGAGTAATGACATTGGCCTAAGTCATTTTAGAAACATTTTAAAAAGTAGACAAAGCCAAACCTCTTTGGATAGATATTTTACCAAGCAACCTCTATCCAGTGAAAGTGGTAGTGGAATTGAAGGAAAGAAAGCAAAAAGCAGTGAATAAAAAATTAAAAAATATATATAAAACAGAAAAAATAAAAAAATTAGTGTTAAGTTATTTTTAAGTTATTGTTACATTATGTTATGTAAGTTAAGCTTTTCCCTCTCCTCTGCCACCAGTTTAAACCTCCACCGCCATCTATCCTCAAAGTGCAAATAAAACTACATTTTTTTTTAAAATCAAATTATTATTCTATTATAGTTATTTATACATTTACAACTACAAAATGCATTTTTCAGTGTTTTCCTTACTATAGTTGTTGTTATTTTTTTAATGTACTACTTAGCTTCGAGTATTTTTCGTGTTGGAACGGATTATTTAATTTTACATGTAATTATATAGGGAAAAATGATTCACCTTACGACATTTTCATGATATGATCTCAGTTTCGGAATGGATTAATTTTGTACCCTGAGGTACTACTGTAATAACAAAACATTTTTTTTCATATAAATTATCATTTAAAAAAATTATTGTGAACTTTTTGCAATAAAAAGGAATCCAATTTATAAGATTTTATTTCAAATACAGTGAGTGAGTTCAAAAGTACACACACAAACAATTCATTTGAGATAACAATACTTAAAATATCTATCTGAAATATTAATATTTACAACATTTCCATTGAAATATCTAGTTCTTAACTGTAAAAACTACAAATTCATTATTATTAAAAATTCTTAACTAATCACTATTACTAAAAATTTCTAACTAATCACTAACAAAAATAATTTTCATCAATGTCCAATTATGTCATTTATGAATACAGTCTCCAACACATTTATCAGATTCGCAATAAAAATCTGCTTAATTCAAACTATAAAAATTATTTCTTTTAGGAAAGAAACAATTTTTTTTTTATAATTTGAAACAAAGCAATTTAAAAATTTTTTTTGAATTAACTATTACTAAGTATTTTCTATTTTGCAATAATTATTTTGTAACCAAAAACAATGACAACTTGCACTCTTAACTTAATAATCACCAAACAAATTTATTGAATTTCATTTCAAACTTTAAAATGATTTTCAACTTCTGTAATTAAGAATCCATTTCATTACACAATAGTATAAAACTACATTAAATCATCATTATTGCATTCAAAAACTAAACAGTATTTTGCACAGTAAGCAAATAGCTGACATTTGGTACTCATAAATTAAGAAGCCAAGAAATATTGATAATTGAACAGACCTGAAACTAAACAGCACTGAAATGAATACAATATTTATTTATTTTATTTGAAATGAAAACATTTGCTACATTATGCACAGTGCAACATGGTTTCATAGATATTAACAGTGTCCTATAAATCTGAACACACTTATCTTCTCATTCTTAATGCATGAAGCCAGATAAATCACCACCTCTCCACAAAGCTCATTTTAATGATCATATTTCAGTATACTAGGCAATTGTGTAGATTACATAGCATATTATGAAAACTAAATATAAACAACAGAATTCCATACAGTCGACCCCCCTATAAGATATAGATACGTTCCAATTTATTAGGAATCTGATTTCTTACAAGTCGTTCCAATCACAGCCCGACACGTGTCAAGTTTACGGACTACGGCTGATTGAAAGGTTTTCTTCCATAAAATTAATCGATTCTACACTAATCCGACTCAACATTTCCAAAATACGTATATTTTTTTGTAGTTTTATAGGAATCGTAATTATGGGGGGGGTCGACTGTATTGTCCATTGGCAAGTCTATCACTTAAAAAAAATTCATATTTTTTAATTTATTTCATACCAATCTAAAATAAATGGTTGCTACTGCTGCAAAGGATTATTATTATTAACACAGACAAAGCTGTCATTTAGCAAAGAAATGGTCCTGCAACAATTCAATCTATTATTATGAAAAAATAATAATCACTGCAGTAGCACAATTTATCTGTATGCTTAAGCAGTCAAACCTCGGGTTTTGAATGCCATATTTGCTCCAGTTGCTGCACAATGACTTGGTTGCCAAATGAGCTACTTGACAAAAGCCAGCCACAGATTAGAAAGATAAAGTATAGGGAGTTAACCATCTGTGTGTTAAAAAAAACTGACAGCCCAACCAATCAATGACAGGACTTCATCCATAGGACCAATTCATAGGTTAGTGGTGCCTGGATCACCTCTCATCATTTTATACAAGGTGTGACAATTTAATTCTGAGACTGGTTGTGTAGTGCTGCAGTGTCAGTGTGCAGAAACTTGTCTAAGCTTGTCATAATAGTTCAACCATCCGGCTACTTGTCTGCAAAGATTTTTGTGTGTCTCAAACTCATTCTTTTTCTGTACGCCATTCACATATTGTTGTGAGAAAGTGCTGTTACGTTTTTGACATGGAACAAAAAGTGAACATTAAGTTTTATTACAAGTTGGGTAAAAGTGCAACAGAGACATATGCCCTCATCAAGCAAGTTTATGGAAATGATGCCCTATCCCGCTCTCATGTTTTTGGGTGGTTTGTGCACTTCAGGGATGGTCGGGAAGACCTTGAGGTTGATGCTCGTCCTGGACGACCTCAATCAGTTCAAACACCAAAAAACATTGAAAAAAATCAGAGACTTGCTGTGATATGACCGTCAAATGTCTATTCAAATGATAGTGGAGACAACTCACTTAATCATCACCGAAGATTTGGGCAAAAGAAAAATCTGTTCCTGCTTTGTTCCGGATTATCTCACTGAGGACCAAAAGTGTCTCTGGCTGGAAGCGTGTCAACAGTTCATTCAAGATGTTGATGATGACTCGAATTTCCGAAAATCAAAATCGCATTAAAGGGACAAAGATTCGACGACCTGGAGGACATACAGTGCAATGTGACCAAGGAATTGAGAGCTGTCAACGAAAGTGACTTTGCTGAGTGTTTCAAGAACTTGTACAAGTGTTGCGCGAAGTGCATTGCCCTCCAGCGGGATTACTTTGAAACATATTAAAAGGGTTTTTCATTATATGTTCTTTGTGTCCTTTTATTACCCCAGTCCTGAAATTTAATTGTTACACCTTGTACATCATAATACAAACCATCAATGACAACATTATTCAAATTAAATTTTGATGTGCATAAGAGTAAGATACTTCTTACATTTATTGGTATGAATTGTAATTAAATTTAAACCAAATTAACAAATAAAAACGAAATTAATTAACATTTATGTAATATAAATGCCATCCATGAATCAGATGTTTAAAGGTACTAAATAATAATTAAACAAAATTTATTAACTGTTTTTGTTTAGATAAGGGTTGTCCAATAAGTATTCAGACTTATTTTATTGCTTCACAAATATTTTACATAGAAATAAATTACAAACACTTTTTCAACATAGCTTTCTGATAGGTTTTGACATTTTCTCCATTAGTCTACCAACAATATTCTAACATGTGGAAATCTTTTGATTGATCCTGTAATCATTGAAGAACTACATCAATCACCATATCATCATTTGCAAACTTCTTTCTGGGACCAAAAGCTTGAACTTGTTTTTGAAATACAATTTGTCATGTTCTGCAGTGATCATTATACCTGAAGGCAATTATACTTATTTGTCTACAAGTGGAATCTTAATTTTTCACTTTTTTTCAGGCTAAGTTGCAGTGTGAAATACTCACTGTCTTACATCATAACTACTTTGGTGTGAAATTTATGTTGTTTTGTTTCAAGTTATGTTATGTTCTTTGTACCTGGAAACTAAAGACTAAAGAGAGAAAGACATGGCCGAGCAGTGAGCATAGCCTGTGAAAGGGGAGGAAAGAGAGAAGAAGGAGTGGTGAGTGAAGGTGGAGAGGTGGGGGAAGGAGAGGTGGTGAAGGATGAAGTGGGATCCATGAGCGCCTACACGGGTCCGTTGATTTAACATGAAACACATACAGGGAGCAAAAAACGGTGACTACAAAATGATCCAATAATGGTACAGAGATTGAAAGTGACAATATGCACGCAGAGACAGACAGTGCCTATTTACAGTGGAAGCGGCACAAAACATATTATAGGGTTAACACACGGAAATTGGCAGGTATTTGCCAGTACCCCCTAGAAAGTAATTACAGGACAGACCAAGACCAACCCAAGTTGGCGGGTTACCGTGCATGAGTACCGGCAAGAAGACCCGTTACAGCCTTAACTAGATAACTTACAAGGTAACTATTAACAAGCCCAATATACAAAAGAATTAATATCGCGG